ATAAAGAGAGAGGAAAAATTATGAAAATCTATATTCAAAATATTATTAAAATATAGAAATATCTAAATATCTAAATATTTTACATAATATTTATTGTAAACAAAAAATTAATATTTTGTAAATATTTCTATAAATATTGCACATGAAAAAAATAAATATAATTATTTATAATTATTAAATTAATAAAGAAATAAGAAAATCGAAATTTAAATTGGTAATATACCAGTTGTACAAGTATGAAATGCGGATTTTTTTTCCAAAAAACACGTTAAATTCGGAAGAATGATAAAATGAAGTTTATTCACAGTATGCTCCATTGCTAGTTACACATTTTTCCCATCTTTCGGGCAATTTATGGGTACCACGCCAGTAAAAATCTTTCCCTTTTGCCGCGAACCATTCATCGAGTTATTTTTTCACATTTTCATACGAACCAAAGCGCTGCTCAGCAAGTGCGTGACCCATCAATGCAAACAAGTGGTAATCGGAAGGAGCCAAGTCTGGTGAGTAAGCCGCATAAGATAAATCTTCCCAGCTGAATGCTTCCAACGTGTCGCGAACCGGTTTTGCCGTATGTGATGGAGCATTATCATGGAGAAAAATAATATTATGTTGCCTCTTTTGGTATTCTGGTCGTTTTTCAAGCAGCGAACGGTTTAAATCGATCAATTGTTGTTGGTAGCGTTTGGTATTAACCGTTTCACCAGGCTTTAACAGCTCATAATAGACCACACCTTTCTAGTCCCACCAAACACAGAGCATCGTCTTCCTGCCAAAGCGATTCGGTCTTGCGGTCGATGTGGATGGTGCGCCTGGGTCTATCCATGACTTTTTGCGCTTGGGATTTTCAAAATAAATCCACTTTTCATCCCCAGTAACGATACGATGCAAAAACGACTTTCTTTTGTATCGTTCGAGCAAAATTTCACATGTGTTTTTGCCTCTCTATCTGCCTCTCGTTCAACTCATGTGGTACCCATTTGTCGATCTTCTGAATCATTCCCATCTCTCGTAAGCGATTTGAAACAGTTTGTTGACTAATGTTCAATTGCTCTGCAAGTTCTTTTTGTGTTTGTGAATCATCTTCGTCCAACAATGCTTGCAATTTCACATCTTCGTATCTTTTTGGCGGTTTTCCGTGTTCCTTGTTTGCAACATCGAAATCACCACTTTTGAAACGACGAAACCATCGTTCACACGTATCTTGCGATGCAGCATGTTCACCATAAGCTTCTCGAAGTAATCGGTATGATTCAGCAGCAGTTTTCTTCAAATAAAAACAAAAAATTAATGCTGTCCGCGAATGCTCTTTATTTGGTATAAATTTCGACATATTGAACACAGCAACACAACACTATGCAAACACTTTTTCAATTTATCACTCATGCGCGTTTGACACTTGTTGATGGCACAACAAAATGGCATAAATGTCAAATCTTTATACCACATACTGCACTGGTGCGCCATCTGTTTTTTCAAATCCGCATTTCATACTTGTACACCTGGTACATTAGAAAAAAATTCTTTAAATGAAAGAAATATATTTTGTTACATATAATTTCTTAACTTAAAAAAATATTTGTTAAATTTTAGAAAATATATAATAAATATAAAGAAATATTTTTTTTAATTTGTAAAATAAGCTGTAAAATTATGAATTTATAAATAAAAAAAGTGATTTCTTTGATTAAAAATATCTATATATATAAGAATAAATAAATTATTTCTTTACAAGGAGAAAATTTTGTGTTTTTAAATTTAGTGTAAAAT